AACCTTCCCATTAGATGGCAGCAATGTATAGATAATAATGGCAACTACACACATCAAAAGTGTCTAGGGATCAAGTGAATATTTTTGAAATAAAAATTATTTAAGCAATATTTACCAAATCCAGTCTTCCAGGACGACTTCTTACTTTAATGCTTATGTTTTATTTAACCGCTTACCCCTATATTTAATTAAAATAAACTAAAATTGATGTTTTTGCAAATTGTGGGAAAAAACTCAAACTAACGGCGTCAATTAAATGACAAAAAAATGGCGAAAATGATGATTTTGCTCATTTTTATTGTAAAGATAAGAAAATTAATAATCTGTATTTCCACCATTAACACGAATCACACAATTACAGCGATTTGGCATGCTTAAGATGAGTTCATCAAAATCACTTTGAGGAATGGCCGCCCATGTGTTTTGTAACAAGTCAAAATATTGTTGTAGAGTATATACGGTATGCATACTCGGCACAGCTCTTCTTTGAAGCATATCCCATGCGTGCTCAATTGGATTGAGGTCTGGCGATTGAGCAGGCCACGGCAGAACGTTGATACGAGCTTCGGCAAGAATGCGTGTTACGACTCTAGCCGTGTGTGGACGTGCGTTGTCATGCATTAGTTGAAATGAATCACCCAACTGGCCTCGCAAAGGGATGATAACATCTGAAACAATCCTCTCTGCGTAAACTTGAGCATTGAGGTTACCCCTGATCCAAATGAGATCGGTTCTTCCGCCGATCCAAATACCGGCCCATATCATTATTGTTCCCCCACCATATGGATGAACTTCCTGACAATATCTCAAACGTTCATGACGTCCAGATGTTCTCCAAACTCGAGTACGTCTTGTATCCGGTCTCATACCGAAGCGGGATTCATCCGAAAAGCACACATAGCGCCAGTCTTCTTCCTCCCAGTTTCTGTGTTCGCGAGCCCATCGTAAACGGGTCCTGCGATTGCAGGGTGCAATAGGTGGAACTCTGAGCGGCCTTCGGGATCGCAGACCCACTTCACGTAAACGATTTCGGATTGTTTGATTGCTTATTAGCAAGCCTGAGGAGCTGTGGAGCCTCGTAACCAACATCATGGCGGTCATGGTACGATTCCGTCGAGCAGTATTTTGGATATACCGGTCCTGTCTGCGAGTCGTGATGCGAGATCGTCCTCCATGTCGCTCGGCCACGCTGCCCGTCATGCGATAGCGCGTCCAGAGACGACTTATGACGCTCTGTGTAGTGTTAAGAGTGAAAGCCACAGCACGTTGCCTGGAACCAGCTTCCAACATTCCGACGGCTCGCATCATCACTTCTCGGGTTAAATGATGTCGTCTCTCCATAATAATGTACATTGTTTCGGTTCCGATGCAGATATCATTACATGATTTTGTCAAAACGCTATAACTCATTTTTATACAAAACCACATTGACAATCGATTTTCTTCTTATTATCGAATTTTAAACAATATTCCTTATTTAAATGTTAAAACTCACTAAAAAGTATCAATAGCGATACAAAAAAGTTCATATAATTAACCCTAATTGCAGCAATCAATACTCTTAAACGTACTTGATCCCTAGACACTTTTGATGTGTGTATTTTGATTAAATAAATTTGTTAAAAATTTAAAAAATAAACAATTTAGATTTTCAGTACAAATCGGCAATTTCATACTTTAACCCCTATTATTTGAATT